AAAACGTACGGGAGTTCGTGAACGTGACTGTTTTTGTGACGTTTTCAAGGCTCTCAATCCATTTAGCTCACCCCTCTTAACACTATTAATATGTAAATGAAAAGGCGAGACCTTCGAATTTAACGTCCGTCTCCGATAAGACCGAGCAAAATGGGTTGAGAGCCTTGAAAGCTTCACAAAAACGACTTTCGTTCGCGAACACCAGCAGGGAATCAAACTAGGGCCATCCGCTCCTTAGTCTAGAAGAGTGATACCAAACTGAGCTAACGGAGAGTTCTCACTGAGTGTACACGTGCATTATAACGTGAGTTCTAAAATTGCAAATGATTTTCAGTGTCCCCAAGAACACTTAGATTCTACTGATTAATTCAGTTCTTTGATTTTTTAAAAATACGCTCATTAAGCCAAGAACCTCACGATGGAAGAGTGGAGTATTACGAAGAAACTGTTTCTCCCCCACCAATCCAACCTTTCTCGTATTTCCATGAGCCCACCATAGTTAAATTTTAATAATAAACAGCACGAAATTGTTAATAGCTCAAATTATGGTACCGTACTAACTACCTTTGAATTTGCATTATCATCAGGAAATTTGAATTTAAGTTAATTGCAATCTCTCTCCATGTTTCAGCCACCCCCCCCCTCACCCTACGGTGACGGCTGTGTTCTAATTGCCCGTCAAGGTTTGTGGATAAGTCAAGTGTAATCCATCTCTCTCTCTCTCTCTCTCTCTCTCTCTCATTTCCACCATCATCGCCATCTTAGCTGTACACCCACACGCTACTTGTGCCCACTTACTTCATTGACGCCTGGAGGCCACTAACACACACAAACAACCAGCCACTAGTTCCATTAATCAATAGACATAATCTATGTTAGTTGGCCTTACTCTGCCTGCCTTTCTCATTTAAACGTAATTAGCATAGACAAATAATTGTTGAACACAATATAGGCATTTTCAGACAAGAAGATGAATGTTCGATTAAAGGGCGCGCACGCATGCACACGCACGCACGCACATATACATGAATTTTAATTGTCCATACAAACCAGAACAACATACCCCAAGACAGTGAGACAGCCATCTCACATCTCAGTCAGGGGCAAATACTGGATTGTTTTTGAAGTAAATACATTTTTATAAGGTACAACTTTTGTAATCAACACACAGCAAAGACGATTGTGTACATGTGTGCTCGTATATAGATAATATGAAAAAAAGGCGGGCCAGACTGGCATTTGTATATACCACTGAGTGGGCGAGCAACGCAGCTTTGACTATATTTGACGGTGCACATGTATAAACATACAAACGACACGAAACGCGGCATCGTGAAATATTGCTCATTAATAACATGTTTGCTTTCCGAGAGTCGATTAGACATCCTAAATGCATAATACGTCGTCAATAAGCAGATCAAAGGGGACATTCATAAACACGATCCTCTCCCCTAGACGTGACATCTGGCTCTCACGTCCCAATCCAACGTGCACACAGGGGAGAAGAGGCGTCATTCCAAAAGAGGTCAACCATTGGCTGGAGTCGGAAGCAGAACACCCTACTACTAGACATAAAGTAAGTCACTCTGAAGGCGGAGTAACGGGTCAGCCGACCAACACAATCAAATAAACAAACAACCACACACACTCACACACACAAATTGCTGCTGGGATGCCGAAAAAGAATGCTTCGACCTGCGTTCTACCGAGTAGGATCTGCTGTACAACAGTGTCGTATAATCGTAACGCCGATTGCACACATCCACTTCCCGATTTCCTCATTGTAAACATACCTTACATACCTCAGACGTGGAGAGACAGAGGATAAATGCGAGAAATGAGAACATGAGGGTATGACAATGTAGAATTAAATGAGCATCTTTGGAGCCTGTCAAAGGTCTCTGGATATACATAATATTATCATAGAACATATAATGATTATTTGTACTGCTGGGCAAAGTATACACAGAGCTCAATGCCAAACTGCCGTGGAAATACACGTCACATCAGTAAATATATTCGAAATCAATACATGGAAGAACACAAAGCGTGAATGAGTGATATACATTTCTACTTAATTACATGAATGAAATACAAGGGTGAAACCGTGACACTCACTCCACTCTCAACCACACACGTACAGAGTCACTCGCCAGTGCGTGGATCTCAACACAGAACCATAGACTTGAAATACATGACAATGTATATCCTTGACTGTGAACTGTCATGGCTGTCGCTCTTTTCTAATTACAACTTTGCTGCGTCGCCATGGGTGCCATACTGACATGAAGGGCAAAGCACCAGTCTTGTTTTAGTCGTTTGGCCGCTGCACCACCCCACCTCGGCCCTTGCCCTTTAGTTGGTTCATTCCAAATTTGAGTCAAACGGTGTGCCCCATAGTGAACCAGAATGACGCCACAGTGCACAGTCTAGGATGTTATATTATAATACAATTCTAGGCATACAACGGAGTGACGTTACAAGACAAAGGGAATACTACCTAGACGGTAGAAAGGAGAAGAAAACCCGCCACCAAAGACAAGCGCGATAAAGCCGACAGTTGTGGTCCACCTACTTCTGCTAGCTAGAACAAGAAAGAACGTCTTACGTCTGAGACTTCTGTCTCCACCCAAGATCGCCGCCCCATTTCCCCTCACTGACTTCAAACCTTACTCTTCCCCACCAGACAAAAACAGTACCCCGGCTCCCGTAGTGGTCAACGTTTATTTCCGACTCTCCTTTCACATAGTGTTACGGCGACCTAACTGTGACCCCACTTACAGTTGAGAGACCCCGGATGTGCGTACTAGTTCAAGTAAGTTCCGAAAAGAGAGTTAAAATTTACTTTTATCCTACTTTCTACAACACTTTAAGCTTTATCTAGTAGCAGTGCACTTTCTAACGAACAAGAACTCCACCTGAAACAAATCCCGTAAATTGGAGAGATTTCCTTACAGGTCTCGATATCCTCAAGATCTATACACTTCGGCAAAAACTCCAGTAGAATGTGTACAGATATTTATAAACTTTAGAGACACATGCTTCGACTTTATCCTCAAAAGTTCTTGCAAATGATTGAACCCCCCCTCCCTCTAACCCGTTGGATATCCAGGGGGAGGGGGATAAGTAGTTCGCGATTACAACGCACGTTATACAAAAACAAACACCAACGTGTGCACAACCACACACATAATATTGTACAAGAACATAGTTCGAAAGACATAAATTATAATAACTATTACGTTTTTTGCCTAGCGTAATAACAAGAGGACCAAACTGCCTGAAGAGCCACCACCAAGGAGAAGGAAGTACAATGAACACAATTTTAATTTTAGTAAGAATTTTACGGCACTTGCAACACAATGACCATATGAAGGCGGATGATTAGAGAGGATGCAAGAGAGTAAGAAGCAAAAAAAAAGGCAAAAAAAAAAGAGGGATAAGGACGTGTTTCATAGGAAGGCAGGAGCAAACCACATAAGAGTAGCTCCAACCACCCACTATCGACCACAAGTCGTTCGTACGTGTACGAGTGTCCTAGAATATACACTAAGTATAATCATACATCTATAATATGTCGAGAAAGCAAAGATGCTGGAGATATGAAGTTATGACATGATATAACATTTACATATTTAGATTTGGAAAAAAAAAAGGGGGGGGGGGGGCCAAGTATCCTTCACGCCGTGGTTGACTGAAACAATAACAATGTATGTATTATGACAATATGGCTCGTGGCAGTGGAGGAAAAAAAACCCGCCGCGTTCCGAGAGGGGAACTGGCATGGTACTGTTGTTGCAAAGCTGAGCTAAGAAGAGTTCTCCTAGTGTGGTTTGCTTCGTTTCTAAAACTCTCGCTTTAACGGCGTTATATTCAATCATGTCTGCTGCTGAACGCGAATTTACGTATCTGATGCTGGGTGAAAAACTTACTTCTGCCATGGCGAATAACTATTGGTTCTCTCTTCTTTCTAAAAGGTTAGACAGGGATTGTTTAATTGTTGTTTTTTTTTATTAGTGAGTGTGTGGGTGGTGGT